CACGTAATCGTAGACGCATGCTAAACGACATACTTGTTTTGCCGCCCCCAGTCACACAACCCCCTGTTTGTGAGCCCTGCAAGTCCCCCATCATTGAACCAGCAAATCCTGCGAAATCCATAGAAATCCCGGAAACCGTAGTAATTAGTAACACTCCCGTAGTGCATGACAAACCAGCTAATTCAAGCATCGCGGTAGTAGTTGAGGTGCATGAGCCCCCAGTAGAACGGATTTCAGGTACGAAGCCAAGGACCAGTAGATGACCGACCATGGATTCGCAGGAGTCGTATATAAATGTTGTGGACACTTATTAATTAGTCTTTTTGCAGGTGCTGAAGCCCCAATCAATTTCTTTTTCTTTTCTTTTCTCTTGTCATTTCTCCCCCGTAGCGCTAAGGAAGCCCGAAGACAGTGTCTCCATGAAAGAGTACTATGTCCAGGATGAATCGCAGGCCTAGGACGGGAAGTTCGGAATCGAGAAGGAATTCCTCGCCGTGGAGCGAGGTGGAAAGGTGAAAAGGTGAGAGTGTCGAAATTCGGGAAATACGGATACTCGCTTTTTATCCTGTTACAGCACCACCCGCCGCTGGATCGCCCGGCGCCGCCCGACATCAGGCCAGGATAGCTGGAAGCCACCCCGGAATCACTGGACGTCGCACTCGGAATCACCCGGACTGCCCGGAAACCAACCCGGATTCACCCGGAGTCTACCCAGACTCGCCCAGAACTGCCCCGGATCCATCTGCCACTCTCCGTAGTCCCCCCCGGAACTAGCCCGGAAGTCTCCCGGACTGTCTTGATCGCACTGAGACCACCGGACTGAACAGCATGTTTACAATTGCTGAACCCGGAGTCTGGACGACTCGCTTATCCCAGACTGGCTACGCCTACTCAATAGTGTAGCAGGAGAATTGGACTTCATGCAAATGGACATTTGTGCAAAGTGACGTTGTTGTGAAGTGACAGAGTTAGCGCTAAGTGGATAGACTCAGAGGATTATGTGAACGAACTGTTTTACAAGGAAACGCGCTTGTTTAGAAACTCAAGGAGACCCTGAGTTTTGTAGATATTAGGTTATTGTGAAGGAAACTCATCAATTTATTCGAATAATCGGGAAAAAATTGTTTCGTCTTAAGGAAGGGGTGATGTAACACTTTTAAACCATCGCGATTATTAGAGGCAACCGACGCATTTTTCTGATGGGAACTTTCCCAGAAAACGAAGATGTCATTTCTGTTGAATAATGGTTTATTACGCCGTCCCATCTTACTGCCCAAAATTCCGAAATTACCCTGCAATATCCGTCCGTACCCAAGTTCCCAAAAATCCCCATAGACCGAGCACGTTTTCGGTTTGATGCACTTTACACAATGGGCCCCAGCAATAACGTGGAATCCCATCGTTTAGAGCTATGAAATTGAAACGTTTTTGATCGAAGCCATTAAGCACCAGATATGTCAGTCTTTGCTCGGAACTTATTCGTAGAGATAGATGTTTTTCCTTGATTGTAGATTTGATAATTGTAAATAGTAATAGGGTTTTTTTGAGAAAAGAGCTTTAGTTTCGGCCGGACAGATTGTCTCACTTCCGGATTGGTAGAGGCGTGTTTTGCATTGCCGCTTCGAGCATGGGCTGAAGAAATCGGCCAGCAAATTCCGAAGTGGGGTAATTTTTATTAGGGTTCGAGATAGGAAATTCTCACCGTTTACAATGGGCACAGAGTACCTCTGTAACTTACGTTTGTTGTTGTAAGCCGATTGTACGGGAAGGATATTTCTATGAATTGGACGAATTTGCCGACAGACCACCCGCTCAAAGTCCTTGCTCGCTTTTTAGGTCAAAGCTGTGGGAAATAGACCCCGGCGCGAAACCGCCCCCGAAAGGAGGTGGTTGGCTAAGAAGTACCCCCTCTAATCAGGAAGGTACGACTTGGCTTCAACATTTTGTCCAAAAATTTAGTTATTGTTTCGGTTCGGAAGTGGTCGGTCGGGAACTTCTCCTGCGGGTTGATTCTTGTGTTTTTGTGTAGGCTTGTGTTAAATTGTCAGCTTTTAGTTTAAATTCAGTTTAAGTGTTCATATAGTTAAGGTTGTCTTTTTTTTGTGTTTTGCTTTGATAATTCTTCTAAACGTGTGCGATTAATAAAGGAGGCTGGTCGAGACTACTCTGTAGTTTTCTTCCTTTTTTTTTTGACAACCCCTCTTTACGGTTCGCGAACATCAGCAGTGAATTATGTGACCTGGTGTCGCCGTCGCCATCAAAAAGGTAAGAGCAATCATTTTGTTTATTCTCACATTAATATTGTTGGGACCCACACCGGTCTGGCTAGACCGGATTACAATTACAACGCTGGCGTAAGCACCACGGTTAACGACTAAATTTAAAAAGTCGCCCGTTATAGAACCATATTAGTTCTAGTGAAATAAAGTACAGATATATTCATTCTAAAATTACACTGTATACTATTCCAACTAATTATATTTTTATGCACAGGTACAGTGGATATGTTCTGTCGTATGCCAGACGAGTTCATAGCAGATCATCCATTTTTATATTTTCTCTGCGACAAAAAGAGTAGTTGTTGCATTTTTGCTGGACGTCTCTTCAATCCGAATACTACATCATAATTGGGATAAGTGCAACAAAGAACAACACCACAGACCTACACTTTTGTGAAACATTTATGATTATCTAAAAATGTAAATGCCTGTACTTTCATACTCATGAGTGTTATGTCACCAGCTTTTTTTTTCCGTATGTCGTTTCCGAATTAAATTTTAAAACCTGTCATCCCTTTGTCACATAGACTGTTGTGAATTAATAACGAACACGGTGACAAACACTACGACATACGGAAAAAAAATAGGAGGGAGCCCTCTTGACCAGATTTTTATTTAAACATCTGTTATCATGAAATATGTTTAATAGGCATGTGATACAATTAATGATTAGATTTTATGCACCAATGTTGTGATAAGTTCGATTTTTATCCTAGTTTAATAAAGTAGTTTTTTTCTGAGTGTTAGGCAGCATTTTATAGGCTATTGCGTTTTCCAGTCTAATTTGTACGAGGCATTAAGCATGTCATACAAAATTCAAACTTAGGCCTTCTACTTTTTACATATTCGTCAATGGAATATTTGATATCGTCATGTTAGATCCTTCCTGTCAAACTTACATGTAAGTATTTGAATCGGCTAAAGACAACGAAGATTAGAAACAACCAGGAAGAGAGTATTATTCTACAAAACCATTAACATAAAATCTTCACTTAGTGTGTATAAAATATATGTACCTATATTAAAAAGAAAGGAAAATGACTATTATCAGCTTTTGCCGTAAACTTAAAGCAGCATTGTATAATCATCCTTTGATAACATGGTGCTTAAGATATACCTAAATCGTCGCTTTCCTTGATACCACATATCTGTAGTATCTGCAATAGCAGTCTCATTTTATTTTCCTTTATAGTTATGATAAAAACTAAAAGATGTACAAATATCGACAGTCTGCTTGGATTATATAATATATGCATACTTATAATAATATCTAAATAAATGAAAAATTAAATTGATATAAAGCAGGATAAACAAGAGGATCTTCTTGTTTATCCTGCTATAAGGTCAGCAACTGGTGCATTGGGACAGTATTTATAACTAGTCAGGTTATGAAGTCAAGCAGTTGTAGTGGGGAATTGTAGATAGCACTAGGTCACGCGACTCCTCTTGCTATTATAAATTTTTGGGTTTATGGGCTGCCGGGACCAAGACAACGTGACGCAATCAGTGTTGCCATCGAAATATATATCCTTCAAAATTAAAATCGACCTGTTTTTGGATTTTTCTCAAAATAAAACAACAGATGAATTATTAAGGGTGGTTTCAACAAAATTATCCATTTGAATTTACGCTAATGGCAATATTTTAAATTTAAATTTTAATATTTCAATACAGTCGAAGTGTGAGGTGTTAAAAAAATGATTTATTAGAATTTTCCGCTTTTTTAAATGGAATAGTTTGTATTTTATTACACTTATTCTGTATTTTGTTCGCTTCCTTTTTTGTTAAGTATTTTTGTTTAAAGTTGACGGATATTGATTTTTTACTGTTTGCAGGACAGAGTTTTTTGTTTGCAAAAACTGAAATATCTATATTTGAAAATTATAACGTTTTAGAATGTTTTTTATAAACCCTCGGTATAATAAAATTTGATTTAATTGATAGAATAGATCTTAAAAATTGCATTCTTACGATTTTTTGAACACTTGGTATTGCTAAAGAAATTGAAGAAAATTCAAATGACGTAGCAACGCCGCAGCAGAATTACAAAACTAAACTATGGTTATTGGTTATAAAGCTCACTTTCTACTTAAAAAAAATAAAATGTGTACTATCGTTATGCCTCAAAAACAAAACATTCTATACAGTCAAAAATGATTTTAATGTGTGCTAAAAACCGTACAAGGTTAGTATGTAGTAACTCTTGTATTATGTAAAATTTAACGATATTCTTACACATACGGTTATTTTAAAACCAAATCATGTACGTAATTCTGTAGTATAAAAAACGTAATGCCGTAAAAGAACAAAAACAAGGGGAGAAACCAGTGCTAGGCAGAGAGAAGGTTGTTTAATATATCTATGTTTTTATACGATAAAACAAAGGATATGGTAAACACTCTGTGTCTTAAGATAACTATTACAAATGTATCCCTTGTAATGGATTATAGGTATAATAGACTTTTATGATTTTAATATAACCCACAACATAAAATAAAATTGGAGAAAATGAATTAAATCAATACTGTGTTTTGTTGGTTGTCTATACCAATATAGCAGGAATTTTTTTCCTGCTGAGCAGCTAACCTTGATGAAATGATGACCCTTCCAAAAACGAGCAGTATCGTTTCCACCCCATTCCTGACCGCCATGGTTCGGTCACAACAAAAACAAATACGACGTCCAAGTAACTCTTCTGTGGCAAGTATGTATCCAAAAAAAAAATTCATCGAACACTGATCATGGATTTTAAAATTTAAGGAATGATGACTGATTAATAAAACTATTTAACTTTACACCTCAAAACCAGCATATGCACATTTCATATTAGTGAGAGACCGGCTAATGCTTTATTTTTTCTATATTATATAGCACCTATTTATCAATTCCTTATGTGTTACAGTTCTTCCTGGTCTTTAGTGTGTTTTTATTGATTCTCAATAATGGCGAAACAAACCGCAAAATTCCAAGTTCTGGAAAGTAATAGGCAGTTTACGACTACTCTCTACAATGTTTTGGCGGAAAGACCAGGAAATGTTGTCTTCTCCCCTATCAGCGTGCACGCTGTTCTTTCCATGTCTTACCAAGGAGCCAAAGGTACAACTGCTGAAAAGTTTGCTTCTATACTGCAAGTACCTACAGCTGCAGCCGCTGCAGAAGGTTACAACATTGTGATGAATCGTCTCAATTCTATTCCAAATGTTACAATTCTGATGGCTAATAAAATATATCTTATGGAAGGCTATCAACTCCTGCCTGAGTTTAGCAACGTCATCACTAAGAATTTCTTATCTGAGGTACAACTACTTAATTTTGCCGCAAATCAGGTAGCTGCTACAAGAATTAACGCTTGGGTGGAAGAAAAGACAAAAGAGCAAATTAAGAACCTAATTAGCAAGGAAGCTTTAAATGCATCAACCCGTTTAGTACTTGTAAACGCCATCTATTTCAAGGGCAGTTGGAAGGATACATTTGACGAGGAAGATACCACAACTGAACCATTCTACCTCAACCATGTAGATTCAGTTGAAGTGCAAATGATGCATTCGGATATGGACTTTTATTATAAATCAGATCCAAAGCTTTGTGCTAAAATTTTAAAACTGCCTTACACTGACGAAAATCTAAGCATGGTTATTATTTTACCTTATGATAGAAATGGAATTGCTGAGCTGGAAAAGAACCTGGCCACTGTTAACATAACTGAGATAATACAAGATATGTGTTTTAGGTTAGTTACCGTAGCTTTACCTAAATTCAAAGTTGAAAAAAACATGGATTTAAAGTCTCCTTTAACTAAGGTAAGCAATTTTTAAAAATTCTTAAAAGCCTCAAAAGCTCTGTATACAAATTGTCACAGATTTTGTTACTTAGATACAGCTTCCTGTTACTAAAATGCTATAATGCGAATTGTATATAGAATTATTATACAACAATTCATATCAAAAAGTCATGAAACTCCCTTACATGGAACGGATGTGACATCAAAAAATAGTGTGAATAATATTAACTGACTCCAAAAACATAATTTTTTAGAAGCAAAATTGCACATACGATTTATTACCTACACCCTGTTGACAGCAGAATTAAGTCCACTTTTTGTTTTTCATATGCGAATTTTTCGTTACCCTTAGCTTCTACCGCATGTCCATATTTTAAAGCTGTTTGGAGGGTCACAAAATCTGAGACTCCCTTTACAAAGCAGTTCTTTTAATTCTCGTTTTATTATTCAGCTCGGATTTGCTGAAATTTTTGATAAATCTGTCGCAAATTTTGGTGGTATGATTACTGCAGATGAGCAGCTATTTGTGAGCAAATTTATACAGAAAGTTTTCATTGAAGTAAATGAACGAGGGTCTGAAGCAGCAGCTGCAACTACTGGTAAGTTCGTTTTATTTTTTAGTTTTTGTGATGCTTGTGCTTTCGTGTAGATGTGTTCCAACTATTGTTTTTGTTTCATCTGTAGCTTACTTTTGTTATTCTGTTCAATTTCAGTATATCTAAATATTACAAAAGTACAATTAAAGAAAAGTGTAAGCGATATTAAATTTAATGTTATACCATATCTGTCCATAGCATGTTTAGCTGTGTACTTAAAAGTTTCAATCACACATCTGACATTGGATTAGTCATGTTTTAGAGACTAAGGAAGCATGTATCTAAATTAATTAGATTTTTTTATGTGCAATACTGAAAATATTATTTTACTAAACCACTTACGAGGGAAGCCATCTTAAATGTAGTTCGTAAGAAAAAGCACTAATTATTTTTTAGAATACAATTTTTTTTTCTTGTGAAGTTATAACTAGAACATTGCATTCTCGTGACAGACAGTGAAACAAATTTAATAAGAAATGTGTTTTGCTGAGAGCTTATCACGCACTTAATATACTGGGTGATTTTTAAAATGTTTAGGTCAGCAGTTTCAGTAAGTGTCATGGTTAACTATAGTAGAAATTTAAAAAATCACCCAATATAAAACGTAATAGGTTTAATGAAATAATTACCTGTACATTCATCTTGAAATTACACTGTAAATTTTTTCCAACTAATCATATTTTTTGTGCACAGGTACGTTGGAGATGTTCTGTCGTAAGCCAGACGAGTTCATAGCAGATCATCCTTTTATATATTTTCTCTACGACAAAAAGAGTACTTGTATTTTTGCTGGACGCCTCTTCAATCCAAATGATACATCATAATGCATTTTTCGTTACAATATTTTGAAGAATAACGCCACAGATTTACCCTTTTGTGAAACATTTATAATTATCTAAAAATGTAGATGCCTGTAGTTTTATTTTTTCGCGTTTTATTACTCATAGACACCTCTATTAAAAAAAAATTATCCATAAGTTACAACTAGAAGTACAAAAAGAAATAAACGAAATAAACAAACTGAAATATGAAAACATTTGAAGTTTAATAGTAACAAAAGAAGTGTTATTCTTTTTGGTAAGTAATGACATTATACAATATTAAAGTACAATTGCAGGGGCAATTTTTTAATATTGAGTGGATATCGTTGGCGTTGAAGGCATTATATTAATGTTGATTGCGTTGGTAGCTTCGTTGTACTCAATTGAGTTCCAAATTTGATTTCCCACGTCCACTTTATTTTGAACTGATTTCATCCACGTATATTATATAGGAGTATGTTTCAGCGACTGTTGTGGATTTCTATTATCTATCGGGCAATCAGATTTGGTTACACTGCAAGGTATATTGGCGAAGACTAAATCTAGGATACGATTATTGGAATTTAGAACTGTGTTATGTTGATAGAGACTGGAAAAATTTGCATAATTATTTAATATGGCAGTATATCTGTTATACGAATCACTGTTGTATGACGAAACATTGAAATCCCCTAAAACTACTGTGTCACAATCAGAGTCTTTGTAGAAATTGCTAAACATGTCAAAGAAAATCACAAAATCGTTGAATGAGATAAATGATAAACACTGCGTTAAGCTAGCTATTATAAATGTATTCATTATAATTATAATGGATTATAGGTATAGATATAGGGTATAAAATAATATTAGAGAAAATGAAATTAATCAATAATCTGTTTTGTTGGTTGTCTATACTAATAGAGCAGGATTTTTTTCCTGCTGAGCAACTAACCTTGCTGAAATGATGACCCTTCCAGAAACCAGCAGTATTGTTTCCACCCCATTCCTGACTGCCACGGTTCGGTCACAACAAAAACAAATACTACGTCGAAGTGACACTTCTGTGACCAGTATGTATCTCAAAAAAAATATTTTTCATCGAACAGTGATCTAGGTGCACGTCAGTATTTTACAATTTAAAGAATGACGACTGATTAAAACTATTTAACTTTATATCTCAGAACCAACATATGCACATTTTACGTTAGTGAAAGATCGGCCAATGCTTTATTTTTTCATTCTATAGCATCTATTTATCAATTCCTTTATGTGTTACAGTTTTTCCTGAGTGGTCTTCAAGTGTGTTTTTATTGATTCTCAATAATGGCGAAACAAACCGCAAAATTGCAAGTTCTGGAAAGTAACAGGCAGTTTACGACTACTCTCTACAACGTTTTGGCGGAAAAACCAGGAAATGTTGTTTTTTCTCCTATTAGCGTGCACGCTGTCCTCTCCATGTCCTACAAAGGTGCCAAAGGTACAACTGCTGAGAAGTTTGCTTCTATACTGCAAGTACCTACAGCTGCAGCTGCTGCAGAAGGTTACAACATTGTGATGAATCGTCTCAATTCTATTCCATATGTTACACTTCTGACGGCTAATAAAATCTACCTTATGGAGGGCTATGAACTCTTACCTGAGTTCAGCAACGCCATCACTAAGAATTTCTTATCTGAAGTAGAACTACTTAATTTTGCTGCAAATGAGGAAGCTGCTGCAACGATTAACGCTTGGGTGGAAGAGAAGACAAAAGAGAAAATTAAGAATCTAATTAACAAGGACGCTCTAAATGCATTGAACCGCTTAGTACTTGTAAACGCCATCTATTTCAAGGGCAACTGGAAGGATACATTTTACCAGGAAAATACCACAACTGAACCATTCTATCTCAATGATGTAGATTCAGTTGAAGTGCAAATGATGCATGCGGCAAGGAATTTCTATTATAATGAAGATACAACGCTGTATGCCAAAATTTTAAAACTGCCTTACATTAACGAGGATCTAAGTATGATCATTATTTTACCTTACGATAGGAATGGAATTGCTGAACTGGAAAAGAAACTGGGCACTATCAATTTAACTGAGATAATACAAAATATGTGGCCTAGGTTAGTTATCGTATCTTTACCTAAATTCAAAATTGAACAAACCATCGATTTAAAGTCATCTTTAACTAAGGTATGCAACTTTTGAAAATTTCTTAAAAGCTTCGAAAATAATGTATACATGTTGTCGCAGATTTTGGTTCCTAGGTACAGCTTCCTGTTACTTGAGATAGCAGGATGCGAATTGTATTGTACAATACACCATACCAAAAAGTCATAAAACTCCATTACACGGCACCCATATGACATTAAAGAACTAAGAAGTATTAATTTACTCCGAAAGACATCAATTTTTTAGAAAAAAATTTGCATATTCTTCTTAATTGCAAAATTGAGTGCGCGTCCTTTCATTTTAAGTACCAAACTAGAATTCTGAGTAAAAATTTAAATAAATTTAAGAATGTCAGATAAACTCCCAAAGAAAATTTTGGCATATTTTTATGTGAAGTTTTCATTAACCTTCTCTTCTACAGTATGTCTATATGCTGTTTAAATGTTTGGAGGTGTAACAAAGTCTGAGACACCATTTATAAAGCAATTCTTTTAATTTTCGATTTTATTATTCAGATTGGATTTGGTGAAATTTTTGAAAAATCTCTCGCTAATTTTAGTGGCATGATTACTGCCAGTGAGCAGCTATTTGTAAGCAAATTTATACAGAAAGCTTGCATTGAAGTAAATGAACAAGGGACTGAAGCAGCAGCTGCAACTACTGGTAAGTTTTATTTTTTAGTTTTTGTGGTGCTTGTGCTTTGATATAGATGTGTTTCAACTATTGCTTTTGTTTCATTTGTAGCTCACTTTTGTTATTCTGCTCAATTACAGTATAACTATTAAATTTAATGTTATACCCTATCTGTCCCGAGCTATTAAAAGGGTTAGCTAGACATATTTTTCGCACAATATGGTCTACACAGATATATTAATGTAGACAACTCCAAAACAAACTTTAACCATTAAAATTTTACCTATTGTGCTTTAATATGTATTTTTAGGATTTTACTTTTTCCAGTCAATTTATTTACAGCAAGCGCCAATTGAATCCGCATCCTTATTCACTTGGTAGATTTTAAATATCCTCGAGATTATTGTTACTTAAAATACTAGTTGTCATCTACTTTTAAGTTTAAATTTATATTTTAAATACACTTTGGTGACGTGGAAAATGGAAACCTCAGAGAAAATTAAACATATAATAATAAACAGAGGCCGAACACCGTAGAGTAATCCATAAACGCGCAGGCCTTGCGCTGCAAATCTCAAGGTCGACAGTTTGCTTTGCCGATTATTGTTTTGAAAATTTGCCTTCAAGCTTACCGCACACCCTACTTGAAATCCATTTACATTTTTTTTTGTATTAACCCCTTTAGGAAAAAATAAGATATGTGTCAACTGTTAAAGTATAGATAAAGGAACATGATATTGATATGTTTCAAGTGAAAAATTTTGTGATAACGTCGTAAGCACTTTATTAAACAGACAGGTATTAATTTGCATACGTGCAATGTGATATCAATAATACCAGTACTGTATACTCAAATTTTCGAGAAAACGGGGTGAGCCGTTCTTTATTTGATCAATTAACAAATTGGTGAAAGGTTATTTCCACAAAACTTTTCTCGCTCTGAAGTACATACAGTATAACATATTCAGGTTTTTTGACAAATTATAAGGTTTGATTTTGCGACTTTTATTTATTTTTATGATAACCACGATAAGTTAAAATAAAGATACTCGTAGGTATGGAATATTAAAGTAAAGGTAAAGAAGTGTGCTACGTGTATATTTCAGGTGAGTTTTTCCATCACAAAATTTTCTTATGGCGTCATTAACGTTTTTGAAAATTTTAGGGAAAACTGAATAAGTCGTACTTGATTTAATCAATATCTGATTGATATTGAGATTGAGATCTCCATAAGTGTCGGATTGCTTCATTCATTAATTTTTTTGATTTACCTGCATAAGTAATTTTAAAAACTATTACAGATGGAATTTATTCAACAAAGTTTTGAGATGACGTCATCAATTTTTTTGGGAGGGGTTAGACGAATAAATTTTGATTAATGATTCACCAAAATTACGATAACCTTAAAACGTTTGTACTATATCAGAACATTGGGTTTTAAAATTAAATTGCAAAATGTTGTCAAACATTTTTTTTACAAAAGTTTGGATATCGGGAAAAATTCTCTAAAAACTGCCGACGTAAGCGTCATGTCTAACTAAAGCAAACATTTCAAAAAACACCCCATGCAAAAACATAAAATAAAATAAGTGCTCGATCATTTAAACTCTTTCAAACTAATTATTATATTTTTTGTGCACAGGTTCGGTGGAGATGTTCTGTCGTATGCCAGACGAGTTCATAGCAGATCATCCATTTATATATTTTCTCTGCGACGAAAAGAGTAGTTACATTTTTGCTGGACGCCTCTTCAATCCGAATAGTAAATCATAATGAAGTTTTCGTTACCATATTGTGGGATAACTGCAACAATGAATAACGCCACATGCCTACGCCTTTGTGGAACATTTATAATTATGTAAAAATGAAGATGTCTATAGTTATATTTTTCTGGGTTTTATTGTTCAAAGATATAATACGATCAGGTATGTCTGATATTGTGAACCGCATTGAAATTGAACAGTCACATCTGAACATTGTATAGGCATGTGAAAAAACTGATGATTAGATTTTGCTTCAATGTTGAGATAAGTTCGATTCTTAGCCTAATTTAATAAAATTGGTTTCTTCTAAGTGTTAGACATCATTTTATAGAAATTATAGGACATTGCCAATCTAGTTTGTATGAGATATTAAACAGGTGATACAAGATTCAAACCTATGTCTTCTACTTTTTACATATTCGTCAATGGAACATTTGATATTATTATGGTAAATCCTTCCTGTAAAACTTATATATAAGTAAACCGATCAGCTACTTAAAAACACGAAGATTATAGGTAAGCACCCAGGAAGACAGCATTATTCTACAAAACGATTAAAATAAAATATTTCCTTTGTGTGTATACAATATATATCAAAAAGTGTCGTTTTATTCAATTTTACCTTAAATTTAACACTACATTTTGTTGATAATGTGGTGCTTAATTATGTTAGGAAGTCCATAATTTAGATATAAAACGTCGCTTTCCATGATACCTCACATTTATAACAGACAAATTTGTTGCATTAATATTGTTAAATTGGTTATGTTGTTTTTGAATAATAAATCTTATAATTAACAGATTTGGTTGTTTAGATTACTTATTAATGTCTTTGATTTAACTTAGACTAATAATAACCTTTCAAAAGGTCTTGAACTAACATTTTTGACAAAATTTATAAAATGCAAAAGCTAACTATGTTTTATGCGCATTTTTTTTTTTTTGTCAAAATTAGTGATGCCCCTGAAAATGTATTGTGTTGTATTGTCAACTTTGTAAGGCGGCCCTACATTACTCGTGAAACACCCTGTATTTATAATAATAATATCTAAATAGATGAAAAAAATAAAGTGTAAAGTTCAGCTACTGATGCATATTAGAGACAGTATTTGTAAATAGTCAGGTTATGAAGTAAAGCAGTTACAGTAGGTCAATTGTAGAGAGTACTACACACATAGATACACAAGCTTCCATCAGAAAGCAGAGACTTGGTTCATCTAATTTTAGAATAAAAATATTTAATAACAAATAGGGAAGAACAATTTTTATTGATTAATGATAATGTCAGTGGGATAATCATATTTTAATTTAAATCAAATTTAGATACACACATACATATATATGGACTGGATTTTCCCATTCTGTACAAAATTCCTTTATCAGTTTTTTACAATTTATGCCTGTAAAATAGTCATTACATTCATAATGTTTTGTTTACTGGCAAATAAAGCAGTAGAAACATATGTCAGACTATTACAACTTCTTCACAAAAAGTTGCAAGAATGTCAATAAACTTTGCAGCTAAGTAATGTTATCATTGATTTCGAAGTTGCAATTCATACTGCAGTCAAAATCTTTGTCAGTCATGGTATAAAAAAATTCAAAATTTGTCTCTTTCCCTTGAATACAACGATAAAAATTCTGTTTTTAGCAAGAATTATTGAGCCCCAGTGTTTAGAACCATCAGTAGGTGATTGTTATACTCCAGATTTTACAGAATTTCTTCCCACCGATATTCGGGTTCAGAAGTTTTGTGATTACCTCGTTGAAAATTACATTGGGGAAGACGATTTATTTCCTCCTCCAAGATTGAATTGAGGAAAGAATAATAAGATACCAATTAGGACAAATAAGTAGAATTGAATTTGTTAAGTCTGTAGTCTGTACCTTATAAGTATATTCCAAAAATCTGTAAAATTATAAGTAATTACTTATTTATTCCTACCCTAATTGTTTATGGTACCTGCCTCTTAATTCCACCCGAACCAAAGTTGATGGAAGTCCAAATGCATGGGTCCATAACTTAACTCAGTTCATATATACCTAGTAAAACTTTACACCTCCATTATGGCAACAATGGACAGTAACAATCCTTGTGATTCAGGTCCATAACGCTTACAATAGCCTAGTTTGACTCAAAAGGGTGGTTTAGCTTAAGCCGTTTAAGTCAAAAGTTTTACTAAGTGTATGTCAAGTGAGTTTATTAAATGCATTCCTAATGCGTAATGGTTTTATTACAGATTGCGGTCTAAAGTACTAAAAAATAATTGACGGCGTTTGTATTTATCTTTGGTCGTACAATAACGAACAAGACAATTATTTCACAAGACCACCCTCTTTACGAGCTCTTTGCGAGAACAGAGATCGAACAAAAATTCTGTGTTTCGAAGATAGTTTAAAAAACTCCGGGGACAGGGGTTTCGATTGGGGTCATAAATGGCTCTTTCAGCTCCTCCGAGAAACTGGTTGTTCCAGTGGCGTGCTCAAAAGCGCTTGTCAACGGAGTGGACATACGACAAATTCTTTTACTATTTGCTACTTTTGAACCCATTCATAACCAATTTACACCGACTCTGATCTTCTGAAATTTGATGATTTCCATGGTATTTTCGGTATCTTCTAAAATGTTAACCAGCACCGTCTGGTGGACAGTGCTACACTACACAATCTACCTTACCTTCATCACTAAAAACCCGCATGCAAAATATGACGATTCCAGAATGTAGTTTTAGAACAAGACAAGTTGACACTTTTCTTCCGGGTACCTACCTCCTGTCTCAGTGTTCGTGTTCGTTTAAAGTGACTTAAACATTAGTCAAGTTTATATGGACCCTATATGGCCTACCTACGCTTTGAGAACTTTTGTAATTTTTGTAAGAACTTTAAATGGAAAAGTAATGGTGGGAGTTGATAGAAGTTACATTTTTGTACATAATTTTCAAATTAAAACCTCAACCTGCAAAATGCTACCTACCGCACTCATAATGTAAATAACTACACTGCTTCACAAAATTAACGCACCACTCAGTGCAACGTCCTCCAAAAAGTCCCCTTCGGAGGTGGATCTGTGACGGTCTGGGCGGGTGTATCTTCAGAGGCGGGTACGGACCAACATGTGTTTCCTCGACACAATCTAAATAGTGAACGATACATATCGGACATTTTAGAAGAATATTTATAGGGGAGGACTTCATATTCCATCAAGATAACGCTAGATCATACAGTACACGTATCGTGCAGCAATATATTCAAGAGGTGGGACTTCAAGTTATGTAATGGCCTGCACGAAGTCCAGATTTTAATCCCATAGAACACGTATGGGACATTGTAGGGAGGCGACTTAGAGCTCATAAACCGTCACCCGCTGTTCTTAAGGATACTGGTAACCAGTTGGTGCAAATTTCGAACGTCCCAGACCAAGAGGATATTCGGTGTATGATTTTAATTATTCCTGAGAGATGCGAAGCTGTGATCAGAAGTAGAAGCGGAAACACTCGTTTTTAAGTTGCTTTTTTTTAAGTTTTTAATTGGAAACTATTGAATTTTCTGGTTATGTTTTCGTTGATGTTTCAAGTTGTTTTGCTTTTATTGTTTTATTTCACGTTATTATACCTTATTTCTAAAACATGTACTTTGAAATTTATTTTACAGAGGTTGTAATTTTTTTTCAAATTTCTCTAGTGGTGCGTTAATTTTGTGGAGCAGTCTATTTTTATTAAAAACTTCACACGAGACATGAATCTAAATTAGAAGATCCCCGCGATGTTCCCCACGTATTTAAAATCGTACGAAACCAGTCCAGACGCAGCCTTAATGCTACCCGTGCAAGTAATTCAAAAAGCAGGTAAAGGCATGAAAACATGAGTGCATTGTGTTTTAATGGTTATACCTATATATGAGACTTAGCAAAGATATTTTCCTGCTGAAACATTGACCTCTCTGAACCGTTCTAAAAACCAGTAGCATTATTCCGACGCCGTTGCAGTCTCACACGGTACGGTCACCTCTAAACAAAATACATCACCGGAGTGGTATTTTCCTATTAAATACTGTGCCAAAAATTTTTTCCACTAAACATAAGTCTAGATATTTTACTAGGTCAAAAAATAACCATTGATTAAAATAAAAATCTCTTGACATTTCCAAGCCGGCGAGTGCATATATTTGATGTTAATAACTGGGCGGCTGGTGCATACGGTGAAACTGTTATTTTATTTATTTTATTCTAACACTAACTGAGCTAATCCTTGTATGTTACAGTTCTTAGAATTGTCTCGCTGAGGCGTTATTTTATTATCAACAATGGCTAACGAAACCGCAGAATTCCAAGTCTTGGAAAGTAACAAACAGTTTACAACTAATTTCTACAATCTTCTGGCGGAAAGACCAGGAAATGTTTTCTTCTCTCCTATCAGCGTGCATGCTGTTCTTTCTATGTCCTACCAAGGTGCCAAGGGTACAACTGCTGAAAAGTTTGCTTCCACATTGAAAGTGCCTGCGGCTGCGAATGTTGCGGATGGTTATCGCGTTGTAATGAACCGTCTCCGTTCTATTCCAAATGTTACACTTCTGATGGCAAATAGTGTATATCTTATGGAGAACTATCAACTCTTACCAGAATTCAACAAAGTAATCACTAAAGATTTCCTGTCTGATGTACAGGTACTTAATTTTGCTGAAAATGAGGCAGCTGCTGCAAGAATTAACGCTTGGGTTGAAGAGAACACAAAAGAGAAAATCAAGAATTTAATCAATAAGAACGACTTAAGTGCATTGACGCGTTTAGTGCTTGTAAACGCTATTTATTTCAAGGGCAGTTGGATGCATAAATTTAACAAAGAATTAACCAGAACTGGAGCATTCTACATCAATGATATAGATTCGGTAGATGTGCAAATGATGCATACAAAAAGAAGATTTTATTATACGATAGATGAAACGTTGGGCGCCCAAATTTTAGCGTTGCCTTATAGTAACGAGGATCTAAGCATGCTCATTATTTTACCTTACGAGAAAAATGGAATTGCTGAACTCGAAAAAAAGCTGACCAGTGCTAACTTAACCGAGATAACACAACGTATGAAGCACATTGAAGTTAATGTAACTTTACCTAAATTCAAGATTGAACAGACAATCGATTTAAAGCATTCTTTAACACAGGTAGGTGTGTATCTTTAAAAAAATTTCAATAGTTTCGAATTATTGTATATATTCTTTTAGTTGTCACAAATTTTCTTCTAAAATATAAAGTATTTTCTATATGAAACAAATATGTAATTTTGTCCCATAAAAAAAATAAACAATCACTTAGTAACTTCAGATTTCTGCATTAGTAAGAAACTGAATTTTGAAACTATAGAAAGCTTATTTATATACAGTAGTTCATACTCATTAGCGTGTTTGCGCAAAACATTTTCTTATAAATTTTTTCTTATGCTTACACTTATCCTTATAACTATGTCTTATAATTATAACACTCACAATCGTTACTTCTTATATTGACAATAGTAGAATTTTTCTACAATGTCAGTCAGTGTCATTTAGAACTTTAATTAGTTATGTCGCAACTGAAAAAGAAACGATTTCGATTCTCAGAGAGGGAACGTATAAAATGTTTGAATGCATTATTCGACCTTCTTTGCGAGACTGAATTTACAAACGAAGAAGATGTGTGGAAAAAACTTCATGCAGTCGTAAGTGAAGACGAAAGAGAGCGCTTTCAGAACTGTAGCTTCAAATTATTAAAAGATCATATGTTGGAACAAGTAATAAAATTTAGAAAATTTGATGCCGACGAAGCTACAGAAAGTGGGAAAGAACGGATACAGACTGAGTGGGGCGACGCTGTTAGAAAACTTCTGACTGTCTGGTCGCAATATGAAGATGTGGCACAAATTGACATAGAAAATAAAAAAAATGAACGGGGTAAAAAAAGATGCAGTGGCCAAAAATTCGACGAGGTTATGCCTGCAAAAGCAATTCGCCAAGCTGCTCTGCAAAGTTTGGACAATCCTATTGAAAGTTGTAATAGTGAAGAAATATTAGAAACAGAAGCCACTGACGTGGACAATGAAATATTTTTTCACACTGTTGACGATTTTAATGACACTGATATTGATGGTGAGCGTGGGGGTCGTGAAGGGTTCAACCAAGAATCTAGCAGGGTTTATACAGCAGCAGCACGAAAGACGAGAAATGGAACTAAAGATGGAACAAGTTTTTCATATTTAATTGAAAAAATGAAACGGGAAAGTCAGCTACAACAAGAACAATTAAGATTTAAAGAAAAGCAACATCAAGATAATATGAAAATTCAAATAGAAGAGTTGGAATTCAAAAAAGCTAAGCTTGAGTTCGAACAGAAAAAATGGCAAGAGGAGGAAGAGGGCCGTAAAATAAAATTATTCATGGGCAAAATGAATCAATTTGCGTGACAGAAAGTCAGTTCTGCTTGTCAATGTAAGGTTCTAAGCCGTCAGCATAACTGTTACAATTTATACTTATAACTATAATTATAAATTATAATTGTAAGCATAAGGAAAACTTTATAAGAAAAGGTTTTCGCAAACATGCTATTGTAGTTGCTACCCTATTTTTGTGTGTGAACTTGCCATTAACCTTACCGTCGAGCAATTATCAACTAATTACAAACATTTCCGGGGCAACAAAATCTGACACGCCCTTTACACAATAATTCTTTTAATTTTTCAGTTTGGACTTGGTGAAATATTCAGTCCTGCAGCTAATTTTAGTGGTATGATTACTGCAAACGAAGAGCTGTATGTGGGCAAAGCTATACACAAAGCTTTTATTGAAGTAAATGAAGAAGGGGCTGAAGCAGCAGCTGCTACTGGTAAGTTATTTTTATTTTGTAGTGTTTATGGTTGCTTTTATGTAAAAACTCCTGTATTTTTATTGTGGATATGTGTTACAAGTATTTTTACGTATTATTACAATTTCAGTATACTTAAATAGTTAGTTGCTAAATTAGATATACAAGGTTCAACTAAATAAAACGGTTCTCTAAATCAAATTGTTTGTTAAACCATATCCGTCGCAAAAGTATACAGCTGATGATCCACTAATAAACGTCTAACGTTGTTGTAAGCAAAAAGTTTGTCAATTAAAGTTGTATCTGTGTAGCCGTAATACATAATATTTTGTAACATTACACTAGCGAGGCACCAGTTGGAATTATATACATGCTTTTGACTCTATTTACTACTTCTTATATCTCAATGAATATGTTTACTCTCCGAATGTATGCAAAGCAAGTATTGTAACAGATCGACGGTCTACTTTTTCAACGTTTCATAACCCCTAGAATATGAAAAAAGTAATCTATCGTCTGTGTTGATTTTTATTCGACAGATAATCTCCGAGACTACAAGATCGATTATCGTCAAATTTTATATGTATTTTTGGAATATCGTATAGATGGCAAAACACTAACCAAATTTGTCCTACCATCCCCACCAATAATCTGATGACGTCATCTCACGAATTTGCTTAGTACATGCCGTACAAATTTTATAAAATAACAAACACTTGTACTTGTGGGTTATGAATGTGCCTTGGTTTTGTTTAATATGCTAATAATAAATAATTAACTTCATCACGTACAGTTTAAAAAAATCTAAACGAAAATTTTCATCTAATGTTAACAGTATCACGTTGAAAAAAATACGATAACAGACTTTCAGAGTTTGAAATGCAACAATATATTTGAAGTGCATTACACAGTGATCATCAGATGATTGAGAGCAAGTCAAAAATGAGAAAGTGTAAAATTGAAATCATAATGATGAGCGCCACAGAAATTTCAAGTGAAAAAGATCAAATATAACTTTTGAGAAAAAGCGACAACGATTTCACAAAGATGTTTAGCGCATTTGTGTTTTAATTATCGCGTGATCGGAAATCATTGAGTCTATTGGCACTACTTCTGAAATAAAAATGTGAACTTTTCGTGCGTTTATCTTAGCAGAACGGAAGTAATTTTGTGGCAACTATGTCAATCATGATATGCTATAAATTTAGGTTATGTTTTGGATATATTTTACCATATACCTAACAAATTAGTTTATTTATATATAATTAAAAATTTTCCTCTAGATATAAAAAAATACTTGTAATACCATTTATCCCATTCTGTATCTCGCAGTTTGGATTTTGCATGATTGTTTCAACAACTAATTTTTACTTTTCTGTGCATAGCTAAGATCATCGTGAAACGTTGTGGTAAACCTCCTCCAAGGCATTTTCAAGCAGATCATCCCTTCCTTTATTTTCTCTCTGAAAAAAGAGAGAATCATCTTTTCGTCGGACGCCTCTTAAATCCTGCCAGTGAATGAAATAATATATTCAAATAAAATCTTCTATTTTTTGGGTTTTTTTTTCGGATGGGACGATCCACACTGAATTAGAGAAGGATATATCAAACAGACTGCTCTACAACTGTTTGGTGTGGGATCCTCGAAAACCATATTTTCGAACATTTTTGCTCTGTTATCTCATCATCAAGTTATAGTAGAAAAAAGTAAATAACGTGACACGAATAAAATAGGCAAGTCAAATAAAGGAAATATGATTCACACGTTAAAGAACTAATAAAAAACCATATTAGCAATTTTCCTGTTGAATAAAACCCCTGTAGTAGAAGTAAGTCACAGAAATAATTTCTTAGCTCTGATTTGAATAATAGAATTAAATTTTTAGCTTTCGAATGTAAATTTATTGATACAAGTGTGACTTAAGTATTATCTGCAAATATTCAAAAAGATATTTTTACATTTACGATTTGTGCAGTCTAAAACTAACACCTGCTCAATATATGACTTATATAACAGAGGTTAAAGGTACAACTTGAATTACGTTAAAGAAGAGCAGAATAGGCTAAAATGAAAATGGAATTAGACGCTGTAATATCACAAGTTTCAGCCATTGATTTAGAACGAGTTTTATCTGTTCCTACACTCATTCGCACCCAAACGTTTTACAGCAACAGTTCTCACATGTTATGACTAGACAGCGGATTTCTGTCGGGCTACGTCACGATTGTAAGTGGGGACGCGCTGCATCGCCGGGACTCAGTAGCGGGTGATAGGTAATCACTGAATTTAATTGTCACTTTATTCCATAAATACAATTAACGATTTATTAATCAACCGCCTAAGTAAATGAGAACTGGAATTAACAGCAGAGTGCAACGAAGCAGCGTTATTCTAATCTCAAATAAACGAAGTGCAGCCGGTAACTGCAATGAATTCCCATCCCGTACGAGCCGTACCGAGTTTGGCCTTGTCTAGCCCGACAGAAATCCGCTCTTTAGTTATGACCTAGGAATTCACATTTTGGACTCAGGTACTCTTCAAAATAATTGTGCCTCTTTGGTGAATTAATAACAGGCAGAGAAGGGAATGTGACTGCATCAATACTTTTCAAATACCTTGTTTTCTACGCACATCCGCTAAACAGAAACTTGATAATCTAGACAGATAACTACATACGACAGAGTAAGAACAAACTGATTCCACTGGAAAATTCGATCAGATCATACACAAATTTCTATTCTTGACAACCTAAATTTTTGTAATATTATGCCACTCAACTTTCAAAATTTTCTAGTCACATCATAGGTATTAATTAAGATTGTTCAACAATTAATAACTCCAGTACATGTAAGCTAATAAAATACAAATATTGAAAATTGGACCTGTCTTAATTAGATAATAATAAAAACGAAAAATGTCACATTTGGAAATACTATTAGAAAGAATAACAAGGTATTTTTGAAAGGTATGTAAAAAAGAAGCAGGAATTGGACATGAGAAGCACGTATCATAAACTCAAAATCACCTTTCGTTTTTGACAAAAATTCACTAAAAAATTACTCTCTCGAGGTAAAAAGTGATAATCGTAGTTCAGCAACAGAAACGTTTTTCACGTGAAAAGTTTTTAACGTTTTTGGCCAAACTGGAGGTTTGCTAAAAGATACACAAAGGTCGAAATGAGCTTAATCTACGACAGAACGTTTGAACTTGGTCTTGAATTTCAACGTCTCTACGGTGAAGCTTTCCCCAGCTGACCAGACTATAGAACTTTCAATGGCGTTGTTTAGCGTCTCCGAGAAAATGGAGGATTTCGTCCACCTACATCGAACGAAATTTTAAATATTGTGGAAGAAAATCTGGGCATAAGCTTGCGCAGATTGGCGTACCGAGTAGGGTTTTCCCCATTTGTAGGTTGGAGGACCTTAAGTAAACCGGGCCTAAACCCGTATCATGTGCAACGCGTATAAGTCTTAAAATCTGAGGATTGGCCAAAAAGGGTTGCGTTCTGTGAATGATTGCTTCGCTGTCAATGTCCAGGGCATGAATAGTTGGAAACCACTTAACAGGTCCATACATTTTAGCGCTCCGATTAACAGCCGCCACTTATTTAGAGTTTTTAAATTACATCTTAGGCAACCTTCTAGAAGATGTGGTACTAGATACTCGACGTGATATGTGGTATCTCCACGATGGGGCTTTGGCTCATTATGCACGCCAAGTAAGCGCGTGGTTTAACAAAAACTTCCCATGACGGTGGATAAACAGAAGTGGGACAATTTTATGGCCTATTCGGTCTTCCAATCTCTATCCTAGGGATTTCTTTTTCTGGTGTTAAATATGAAGCAGTTGGTATATCACGGATATTAGAGCTCCTCATTGCATAATAGTCTAACATATTCCTTTACCAATCGATTTAGGTTTGCTAACCTTTCTTCTAAACAATTTGACAGACAAGAAATAAAAATAGAATCACTTAATTAATATACACCTTGCACCTAATTACTATTTGTCATTGGCACAAAAAAAAAGTGTGAACAGATTATTTTTTTTTTTTCTAAAATTTATTCAGTCAATTCAGTTTCATATAGCTTTTCAATATGTCAGGATTTCCATACCTTTGAAAAACACCCTGTCTGTCGTGGGTAATTTTGTTGACTCGCCTGTTAATGTTATTGTTGCGGTCTCTTGAAAAAAGCAAATTTTAAATCATCAATATGACAACACTTCTCATCAACCAATTGCATATGAATGTTAAGATGCACTTCTGCATTTAATTCCATTAATACAGGCTCACTCATCTTTTTCAGACAATCAATTTTTAAATTGAACTCTACCTAAAATCCAGCATCGAAAGAACTATGCTTTAGTCAATTAAATGTATTGTTTTTAGAAGGGGCGGCTGGTGCCGGGGGGCACAAGAGCACGTGCCCCCCCAAAATTACAACGTCTACAAACACACTGGACATAGCAAAATAGTAATTTTCAATATTTAAAAAATTATCCGGAAATTTGTGTCATAATTATCAAAACTAATTTTTTTATCTCGCTCCACTTGTATAAAATGTATCAAAACTTACTTCCACTTGCATCTAAAGATGTGTCTTGGATATATGATATGTTATTTCTGATGAAATGCTGATAAAAGCCCGGCACAGAGACCGAATGGACCGAATCATGACTGATTTAGATGTTTTGTTTACACCTTTGCCATGGAAACTACACCACCAGGCACTAATTTCAAATAAGGGGGCCTTTAAAAAAAGTCTTCATTAGTATAAACCAACATTTTACTTGGATCACAACCAGTATATATATATATATATATATATATATATATAAATTTAATGGGGTGCAAATAGTTGATATTGACAGGTATTTACTTTTAATATTGAGAGGTACAATAATCAAGATTTTCACGTTAGTGCGTTAGTGACTTTACTGTACGGAAATGTTTCCTTTTTGTATATAGGTATGTATATGTACTAGAAATACATATAGTATTTATTATGATATGCCAACAATTCAAAAAGCAGTTAAAAAAAAACTTCGCTAGTAGTCAATATAAAATTAATAAAATCTTACCAGAAATGAGTTGGCATATCAGTTTTATCGTCTAATTGCTTAAAAAAGTTATCGACAAAACTGTTCACAGCAATATCACTTTACTCAGAGAGTTATATTACAAGATAAGAACATAAGATTACTCATAGCTAAAATTTACTGTTGATCTGAAATTTCGAATTTGCTTTACTTTCAAAATTTAAAATTAATTTAAGGGGGCACCAGGGGTGGCACAGGGTTTTGCTGGGGTGGCCTGTGCCCCCCCAGGCCCCACCTTGGTTACGTGCCTGTACACGTCGTAGCTGCCTGATATGCGCCTGATACAACTGGCTTGTGAGCCCATTGCGATCGTGCTCTGGAGGATTGAGTTACTATCGCGGATTTTAATTTTCCTTCTGCGCGAACACGTATAATTAATATTCTTGGATAATCTTCTCGGTAATACAGACATTCGGAAACAACTACACACTGCTTATATTAATAATATTCGGGCACATAACGCAAGGGTCGACAAAAATCGCCATGTATTACGCCGATTGATAATGTGCATAAAATTTTGTGGAGTGTTTGAATTTGCTCTACGTGGACATGACGAAAGTAGGGAATCACAAAATCCAGGTATATTTCGAGGTCTGATTGATTTTATGGCTGAGTTCGACTTTATCAGATCATTTGAAAGAAGCAACGGTTTTTAAAGGAACGCCAAAAACTGTCCAAAATGAACTTTTAGATGCCATGAACACCGAAGGCAAAATGGTATGTGGAGAAATCCTTTTTTATTCTTATTGAATGTATTTTTGTATTTATTTCCGTCACACAATTTCGTCTATTAATTGGTAATAACAACCTGTTTTATATCTTCATATTTAACTCATCAATCAAATTGTGTCCCCCCATTTCAAAAGGTCACCAGCCGCCACTGGTTTTTAGTACAAAAAGTAATCAGTCACTGCATTAAAACTACAAACACATCGAAAATAATGAAATCGGTCCACCCACAGAGCCACCATATTAAGTGGGTTGCATATCAACGCAGCAGGAATAATATCCTGCTGAAATGTCAACCTTGAGGATGTCTCCCAAAAAAAACAACGATATAATTATACAATTATATCCCCTCCATAGACACAATCACTCATGGTAAAGAGAACACGTCATGGGATTAGCATTAATGTAATCAACATTGCACCACAAACATTTTTGCTTTTCGCCGAATATTGATCAGACTAGATGTGTTGCCAACACAATGATTTAAAAAATAACGTTTGATTAAAAATAGTTTACTTGCTACTTAAAAGCCGGCGTATATATGTTTGATCTTAGTAACCGACCGGCTAGTCTTTATGTTGTTATAGACATTGCTTCTGTAATACATTGTTTTTTTGAAATAGTTTTGTGTGTCTTCTCTCATCAACAATGGCTGACAAAACAGCAAAACTGGAAGTCGTGGAAAGCAATAACCAGTTCACCACTAACCTATACAACGTTTTGTCGAAGTCGTCATCAGGAAATATCATATTCTCCCCTATCAGCGTCCATGCTGTCCTTTCCATGGCCTACCAAGGAGCTAGAGGTACAACTGCTGAAAAGTTTGCTTCTACACTGAACATTGCTGAAGCTAATATTGCTGGGGAAGGTTATAACATTGTTATGAACCATCTCAATTCTGTTCCAAATGTTACACTTTTAATGGCTAATAAAGTTTACCTAATGGAAGGGCATCAGCTCTTACCAGACTTCAGTGAAGCTGTTACTAAAAATTTCCTATCTGAAGTACAACTACTTAATTTTGGTGCAAATGAGGCAGCCGCTGCAACTATTAACGCTTGGGTTGAAGATAAAACTAAAGAAAAAATCAAGGATTTAATCAACAAAGACGATTTAGACGATCTTACGCGTTTAGTACTTGTAAACGCCATCTATTTCAAGGGCAGTTGGCTGTACAAATTTGACAAGGAAGAAACTAAAATTGAACCATTCTATCTAAATGATGTAGATTCTGTAGACGTACAAATGATGCATATAAACAGACATTTCCATTACAAACCTGTTGAAGAGTTGGATGCTGCACTTTTAGAATTGCCTTATACTAACACAGATTTCTGCATGTTCATCATTTTGCCGTTCAAGAGAAATGATATTGACGAACTGGAAAAGAAGCTAGCTAATGTGAACTTAATTGAAATCACAAATAAAATGTGGCACGTCAAAGTAACCGTCGCTTTTCCAAAGTTCAAAATTGAACAAACCATTGATTTAAATAAATCTTTAACTAAGGTACGTACATTTGAGAGTTGTCGTTAGTTTCGATTAAGATATGTAAAATAATTATATGATCTTTTATTATTCAGCTTGGACTTGGTGAAATATTTGATCCACATACAGCTAATTTCAGCGGCATGATTACTTCAAAAGAGCCTTTGTATGTCAGTAAAATTATACAAAAAGCCTTCATTGAAATAAATGAAGAAGGAGCTGAGGCAGCAGCTGCTACTGGTGAGTTTATTTTTTAGAAATGTTTATATAGAATTTCCTCAAAAAATAATAAATGCAGCAATTTATTTTATTAATTAAATCAAACACAATTTATCTAAGTAACAATTAATCTTTAATACCTCGTTCGATTTCGTATACTTCCTGAAACTTCTACTGTAAGAAAGAAAGAGTTTCTGAGTTTCTATTTTTATATTTTTCTAATAATAAAATTACATACTACATACATTTTTATGAACATAAATGGAATAAAAATATCCATCTTCAACTAAACGTTACACTCAAACATTCCTTTCTTTTTTACTAACATCAATGGCGACTGGAACCGGGTGGGGAGGAATTGTACCACGTCTACATAAATTATATTTATCAACGCATAAAAACACTAAAAAATAAAATTCTTCTTTAAAACAAATGTTACGCTTATTTTCGACTCAGTATGGATTCAGTAGGAAAACAAATATTTTATTTACTGACGGAATTTAAGAATCTAGTTATTTTTCCTGTGATTTAAAAAAAAAACCTAATTTTATTGACAGTAATTAATATCGTCAATTTATTTTCCATTCTGTGCAAAACAAAGTCGGTAATATGAGATTCATTATACTGTTGATTTACGATTATTAAGTATATTTATGAGTAATTTTGCTTTCAATATTGCTTAACGAAAAAAAGTTGTGCTGTAAAATAAGTTTGTTCTTTTGGAATAATATAAAATAAAATGCAAAAATGTATAAATTGGTCTCGAAGAAAAAGGATCTGAGAAATTTGGACTTTTGCATAGAAAAAATTTCTGTTGTTTATGGACACATAAGCGAACCTGAACCATAAAGTGTTTACTCGATGTCATCACTCATTAGCATTTTTTTTCTCTTTTTCTTGAAAATCAAATTTTAAATATATATCGACTTTTGAAAGAGCTCCTTAAAAACTACATATGTACAGTGATATTTTTAAAGATTTTTCTATGTACAGAAATGACGATTATGGCTAAGGATTGTTGTATAGAAGAAATGAGCCCTGATATTTTCTTCATTGCTGATCATCCATTTGTCCTAGTATTGTTGGAAACATCAGCTGGAAAGCCTAATATTTTGTTTGCTGGGAAAATAATGAAGCCGGAACATTAACAATCTAATCTTTTTTTTGTGAGATAAACTAGTTAAGTTGAAAAATAAATATCTATCTAATTTACTTGTGTTTCATTTCATTTCAATCTAAGAATTTTTATTTTGAAGGAAAAAAGTATGGCTTCGAAATTATTTAGACATTCGGCCCTTTAATGCAATCACACAAATCCAGTATTGCAGTAAAATTGTAAAATTTGGTTCCATGAATTTCATTTATTTTATTTTACGATAACGCCTATAAATGAAATCACAAACACAGAAAAACTGACGCTCCTATTAAATTTTGAAAAGCTGACCTAAATCTATTTACTAACCACTAAAATATCTTGTTTTTTTATTGTTTACAGGCACTCTCTATCTAATTTATTTTGCATTTTTTATACAGGTGACGAGATCTGGCGCATCTCTGCTGACATGTTATTTATAGCGGATCATCCTTTTATTTATTATCTGCTGGAGAAGAAGGAGAAGAATCTTTTTATTGGACGCGTCTCTAATCCTAACGACCTACTTTAAAAGTTTGTACTGTTCACATTTTTGTTATGTGTATAATTAATGTAACGAAATATTATAACATTTGTATTACTTATGTTTATAATATTTATAAACATAAAAAAAATTAAAGTGTAAAAATTTCACACACTTTTTATTGTATTTTAGTGTTTCATATACAAAAAAGACAGAATAATCATAGAGTGTACCCCTTTTTCCTTCCCGAGCGTAAACGAATCCGTCAGGCGATTTGCTGCTTCCATGTTTCCTTGACGTTTCATGCCCATCAAGAGTACCAAAAAAGTGGTCTCCTGTTTCCGTCTGTCTGTCTGTGTCAATTTTTATTATACAGATAATCTTCGAAACAGCTGGACCAATGGTTGTCAAATTTTGTATCTACACTGACCGGCAAAAAAAACCGGCCACCCTGAAAAATTTCGCAAAACCACTTTAAAAATTATTAATTCAACTAGTGAAATTAGCAAAAAAAGAAGACAATTAAACGCAAAATAAAATTTAATTTAACAAAATATCAGAAACAGACCAAGTATGATATTTTCTTAAAAAAACAATAAAGGAGGCTGTTGTTGTAAACAGTGTTTTTTATCATTTTATTATAAGTTAGGCAATTAATAAACGTTTTCACACGAAAATAATTCCGTTAATTCTTACAGACCTCTCTCAAAGTGTCGCTCTGTTTCTGTTATTTTGTTAAATTAAATTTAATCCTGCGTTTAATTGGTTTCTTTAATAAAATAACGATCACTAGTTAAATTAAAAATTTTTAAAGCTTGGTTTTGCGAAATTTTTCAGGGTGGCCGGTTTTTTTGGCAGAATCGCTTTTTATATTTTTTCGAAGAAACAGGATTTATTGGACTGCATTTCAAGCGCAAAGGAAGTTCTATCGAAATAAACTTCGGTCTAATTTTTTTATTTTATATTCATAAAAATGTGTTTAGTGTACTGATTAATTTTTAAGGTAATTGAAGTTTTAATTAACATCTATACGAGTACGACGGAGAATTAGGAATCATAAACTGTTATAGAGATGAAGTTCCAAAAATCATGGGGTATTTACAAAAGTAAAAGCTTTTAAACTTTTCTAACAACGAAAACACAATAAATAAATAATTTCGTCTGTCGCAGAAAAAATGTTTACTTTATTATGCAGCTATAAGGTACACTAGTGGTTAATTATCCAATTATTCTTTTATTTCTACAAGGTCTTTATTGAATTAGATAAATTCAATTTCTTAAAAAAAAAACGTCGACGACGAAGGGATTCGCACTTTTATACGTGCACAAGCATTTTTGTAAAGTAGTTGTGATCAAAAATCCAGGAGGACTCATAAACTACAAGTAGGTATACGTGTACATTATTTTATATGATTTAAATAATGTTTTATGTATTCGTAAACATTTTGATTTAACAAATAGATGTAATAAAATCAAAGAAATACTAAATTTTAATGAATGTTTGCATATAAAAAACGGCAGAAATAGTTTCATGCAGTCCCACTACCTACACCATAAATTCGATGCTCACATCCATTCCAAAGATAGCCACGAGGGACACGGAAAATACAAGTCATATTTGGATGACTTGTTGTGCTTTCCCTTAATTACTAATGCACCGTGAACATTTTTATTTTTCACTCAAGATCGGTCTAGATATTTTGCCAACATATTAATTTACAAGTAAACCGCCGTTAAAAATAGTTCGCTTGGTACTTAAAACGAGCGCATGTTATATTTTACTTCAGTAACACGCCGACTAGTATTTGCAGTGAAACTCTTCGTATACTATTGTAACCTTCACAATGGGTGAAAAAACAGCAGAAGTCGAAGTTTTGGACAGCAATAGCGAATTCACCATTAACCTATACAACGTTTTGGCCGCAACATCACCAGGAAATAGTATTTTCTCTCCTATCAGTCTTCATGCCGTTCTTTCCATGGCTTACCAAGGTGCTCGGGGTACAACTGCTGAAAAATTTGCTTCCACATTGAAAGTACCTGAAGCTAAAGTCATTAAAGAAGGTTACAAAATTCTGATTGATCACCTCAACACTATTCCATATGTAACACTTTTAATGGCCAATAAAGTTTACCTGATGGAGGGGTATCAGCTTCTACCAGACTTCAACAACGCTGTCACTGAAAATTTCGTGTCTGAAGTACAATTACTTAACTTTCGTGAGAGACAATCTGCTGCTGAAAGTATTAATATTTGGGTCGAAGAGAAAACACAAGAAAAAATCAAGAATTTAGTCAACGCAGGGGATTTAGATGGCTCCACACGATTAGTGCTTGTGAATGCTATTTATTTCAAGGCCCGTTGGATGCACGTCTTCAGCAAGAACGCCACCAGAACTGAACCATTCTATCTAAATGATGTAGATTCAGTAAATGTGGAAATGATGCACATGAAGAGGAAGTTTCATTTTAACTCAATTAAAGAGATGGGAGCTAAAATTTTAGAACTACCTTACACTAATAAAAACCTAAGTATGGTCATTATTTTGCCCTTCGAAAGAAATGGTATTGCCGAATTGGAAAAGAAGCTGACTACTGTAAACTTAGCGGAAATCACAAATGAATTGTGGAACGCTCAAGTTACCGTTGCCTTGCCAAAATTCAAAATTGAACAAACAATTGATTTAAAAGATTCTTTAACCGAGGTATATAGCTTTTGCAAATTGTCAATAGTTTTGCTAAATATGCTAAAGTATATTTATAATTATTGTTGTATTGTATTCATTTCTTTATTATTCAGCTTGGGCTTGGTGAAATATTTAGTCCTGTAGCTAATTTCAGTGGGATGATTACTTCAAAAGAGCCTTTATACGTAAGCAAAGTTATACAGAAAGCTTTTATCGAGGTTAATGAAGAAGGAGCAGAAGCAGCAGCAGCTACTGGTAAGTTTATTATTATTATATGTTCTGTTCCTGAGTTTACTTCTTGGCATTATTAATTAACTTTTGAAAATCTTGTGGCATTTTATTTGGAAATATATACATTTTCATTTAAGAAAAAAGGCAAATGTTTTATTAATCTATATTGTTGTGTATAACTGACATTTGCGCGTTGTCAGCTCTCATCGATTAAATTTAGGTTAATTGTAAACATATTACTTCTTACTTCACAATGTTTTCAAAAAAACCAACACCAACTTAATGCGGACTGATTTTTTTTTATGCAGGAATGACGATCTGCCCTAAGAAACTTATCAAGGGCCCACACATTACCTTCATTGCTGATCATCCATTTATCATAATGTTGTTGGAAAAAATCAATGGAAAACTAAATATATTATTTACTGGAAAAATAAGAAACCCTCAAATTTAATCCATCTGCGTCTATTATCTTTAGAAGAGGAGAAGTTAGGTAAGACGTAAAAATAAATATCTATGCTATACTTATTTTTGTTTTATTGTATTAACTAAAACCAATGGTAAAAAATTGGTCTAAAGAGTTTAGACAGTACTTCCCTCGCTGTCGGAAACTTGACGACTGCATGCCTATTGTGTTTTTTTTTCTCATTACATTTTTGTAGTGGGAATTTAAAAAAAAATTGTGATGACGTCATCAACATTTTTGCAAGGACACGTATATCAGTTGGGATAGATGTAGTGTAATACTAAGAATAAAATTATTGTATTCCCAAATTTTCGGGAAAATGAATTGGGTCGTTTTGAATATTGATTTCTTATAATCAATAAAATAACGAAACAATTTACTCACGTATACGGCGCCGGTGTGTAATATCTAGAGAGCGGATTTCTGTCGGGCTAGGCAAGGCCAAACTCGGTACGGCTCGTACGGGATGCGAATTCATTGCGGTTGCGGACTGCACTTCGTTTATTTGAGATTAGAATAACGCTGTTTCGTTGCACTCTGCTGTTAATCCCCGTTCTCATTCACTTAGCCGTTTGATTAATAAATCGTTAATTATATTTATGGAATTAGTACCAATTAAATTCAGTGATTATCTATCACCCGCTACTGAGTCCCGGCGATCCAGCGCGTCCCCACCTATAATCGTGACGTAGCCCGACAAAAATCCGCTGTCTAGTAACATGAAAGGCAACTGAAAATCGTTTATGTATAAACATTCTTAATTTAAGATGACAAGCGTAACAGCATACGTGAGAGTCAAACAGAGAAACTGTAAACAAAACGACCATCGGTTTTATTGCTTCGACTTCCGCTTATTATATAAAACATTGAGTTTTATTTTGATTCTTGACGGTGAAATTCACAATTGGTTGATTATAAACATGTCTATTTCACATTCGCGGAACCAAGTGAGCGCATAAAACAAATGCAGGTCTGTAATGTTAAAGTCGATGTAAATAAGCGTGCTACCCTTATGTTTCAACCGAGTTTTTACTTTAAAAAATTTTGTGTCTACCAAATTGGGTTGGTCCAATGTAATACTAATAATAAGTGTTGCCTTTAAATTAATCAATAAAATAAATTGACTTCATTAATTTTTTGAGCCACCTCTTAAGAAAATCTAAACAATATGAATGAAGTGATAAATCACAAGTACAGACTCATCATATTTTTACGCTTTAGATAGGATTTATTCGGCAAACTTTCGAGCTGACGTCATCAAATTTTTTGAGGGGGGATTAGCAAATACATTTTGATAAAAAAGTTAACGTGCTTATGATAACTTTAATACATCTCCTATGTTTCAAAGCATTCGGTTTTGTTGTTCCTGATTAACTCAATAAAATAAATTCACGCATTCATTAATTTTTTGAGTCACTCTGTATATGCAAATCGAAAAAATTTGAATGGAATGATAAATCACAAGTACAGACTCATCATATTTTGTACATTTTAGATAGGATTTATTCAGCAAAATTTTGGGGTGACGTCATCAATTTTTTAGGGGGGATGAGCAAATACATTTTGATAAAAAATTTACCATGCTTATGATAACTTTAAAACATCTCCAAGATTTCAAAGCATTCGGTTCTGTAATTCCTGATTAAATCAATAAAATAAATTGACGCATTCATTAATTTTTTTCGGTCACCCTGTATATGCAAATCGAAAAAATTTGAATGAAATGATAAATCACAAGAAGAGACTCACCATATTTTGTACATTTTAGATAGGATTTATTCAGCAAAATT